ACTTAACAAGAAATATCTCAGAAATTACGGCCAACTACAACAAACTTTCGTCTAATGTGTGCGGCCTCTACTGCACATACTTTGTCATAAAAACGATATCAGGGAAAGACTTTGAAAAACATCGTCAAAGAATTTGATCCGTATCAGAAGTCGCACAATGATCGTTCAGTAGTGTCTAAAATGAAGAAACTAATTAGAAAAAAGAAGTGACAAAACACAAGTATATCACTAGTTTTAAAACAATGTTCTGTATGAAATAAAAATATAAATTACTATGTGTTTTGTTTTTATTTATTCCCATTATATAGCCTTATGCTACTGCTTTTGCCCCGTAATACAAGACAACTAGTCCCCGCCTCTCCCTGTTTAGTCCAATCATGTTGCAGTTAGACTAATGAAAATGTGCAAGTACTGTCTTATCAGTGACCAATCAGAACGCTTCTTTTTACTCCATTTATTACGATTAACCGTAGCGATTCATTCATTTCCGATTTAGATTGCGAGGAGTTAAGACTGGGGTAAGCTTATTTTAGTTATTTTAATGATTTTTACGCATGAGTGATTTTAATTTCGATTTAGTCCGTATTCATAAAGATCGGCTTGAGACATTTCATTTGATACCAAAACACGCCTTAGATCGGTCCAGGCGTGGTACAGAAAACACGTTTTTACGCTTCAGTGATTTCAGTTCCGGTCCAATGGTTTTTTTGAATAGCGTCAGGTAACAGGCGTGGTAAAATGCTTTCCAACGATACCAAACACGTATATATTCGGTCAAGTAATAACGAAGATTTCGATTTTGAAATTTCTGTGACGTCACTTCCGGTGAATTTTAACTCGAATTACTCAAAAACGGTAAAAGATAAACCCATAAAAAATATATATTTTCTTAATCAGCGCGACGAGACGAATCGATTGGTAAACAGTTGTAACGTTTTTAATGACTTTCGCAATTTAGGGTTTAAAATCGCTCTTGCGTCATAACTCAAAAACGGCAGAAAATCGAATCGACAATGGGGGTTGTAAATTAAAGGTAATGAACTAATCTTTCAATTGGTAGTCAACAATTAAAAATCATATCGGATTCGGTTGCTCTAGTAACCAAAATATATATTTTTACGCATGAGTGATTTTGACTTCCAGTATTAACGTTTTACTATCGCCAGCGTCAGAATGTACTCGTCAAGACCTTCAATTTGATACCAAACATGACTATGTTTCGTTCATAAACGAAAACGTTATGCGCGTTTTTCCGCATGAGTGATTTTGTTTGCCATATTAAACTTCTCTCCTATCTCAGAAACAGTAAAAGATAGATCTATATAATAATACATTTTCTGTATCTTTCAAACGGCATATAAATCTAAGGGTTTTATAAACTTTTAAAAAATGGGTTTAAAAACGCTAATGGGCCCATAACTCGAAAACGGTTTAAAAATCGAATCGAGAACCTAGGGTTTATTTTGAAGCATTTCTGTCAGGTCTATCATTTGATGCGAAAAAAATCAAAATGTATATCGTAAAATGTTGCACAAAAGACGAAAAACGCTTTTTTATGTTGTTTTTTTTGTTCGGTTATAATAGTTTTTTTTAATTTGCACATTCGTGATGATCAGTTTTAAAACGTTTCTTTTTTCCAAAATGAGTTTAAAATTATGCCCCAGTGGTAAACTGACACTTCAATGAATAATTAATTACCCGCTTTTACTTTAGACGATAAACTTTGACAGTTGAATGGAGCATTGTCCGCATATCCGTCCCTTAATTAAACATACGCCAGACCAAGTGGCTACTTTAAAGGATTAACTTTTACATTTTCAATAGGCCATTGTTAGTGTTTCCGTCCCTAAATAAACACACGCCATACATTGTGGCGACTTTACACTCGTGATCAGAGCACTTTAGAAATAATACACTGATGATTTGTGTCATTTGGATTCGGACCGCCGAGGAGTCAACATCGTATGTATGTTATTTTACGCAGATATTTATTAAATTATTTTACAGTAAATGTCCTTATCATTATTTTATATAGAAACATTATTTGACAGAGTCATAATATCGAATTAAATTGAAAATAAATTTCATATATATTTTGTTATATGTTTAAAATTTTATAAAGAAACAAATTTAAAGTAATAAATTAAATTGTCTTATTGATAGTATTATAGAGAGTCAATTAGTCAGTCGGTTTTCAATTATATCTTATTACTAATGTATTTTCTTTTATTTGGAATGTTTATAGAAAAACACATTAAAAAATAATATATTAATATTTAGTCAGTTTTATTACTAATTAAAAATATAATCAAGCCGTTTGCATTTTTTTTTAAGAGACTCTACTTTATTCGAACAATGATTTTATTAATTGATATGTGTAGTTAAGCACGTATTTATAAAAAGGTTATTTGTAGTTATAATAATGGTGATTATCTCCCCATCTAGGGCCGAGGACCTGACCTTCAATGTCCGCGATTCAAGCCCTAAGATCGTGTATACGAGTCAGCTCCGTATACTTCCGGGAGATATTATTTCTATTTATAACGTGATAATGTCATTCTTAAAAATAATCCAAAATGGCCGCCGCGCGTCTGTTATTCAACACGGCCGCGCGCATGTGTAGTAAGGTCATTTCTTTTATGCAAATGAGTTACTATCAATAGAAAACAAAATGGCCACCGCGCATGCGCAGTCTTGGGGCTAAAGAGGCCCCTATACTACTCATGTACATAAATCGTATTTCATATAGAAAATGTAGTGGTACTTTTGGTTTATCTTCTTTTGCATTTTAGTTTATAATAATACTTTACTAACTTTACTAATTTTTCAAATTAATGAAAATCGTTAAGATCTTAGAACTTCAATACGATATTTTAAATAAGCGCGGTAAGTAAACTACATGACGCCGTGATTGGGGAATCCTTAGTTGTACCATGATATAATCCATTCCAAAATAAAGAAGGGTTATTTTAGAAAGAAATAGATAGCAAGTATTGTTATCAGTCATGGTGCAAAATAGTAAAGTTTATTTTACAACATTGAACAGAAACTTAGAAATTTTACTTGGAAACTTTTCATTAAATCTTAGAAATCTAAATAAGACATGAGCCTACTGATGAAAACTAAGAAAAATAAATCTTTCTGTTCACTTCATATTGTCAAATAAGCTTGACAGTTTATAAAGCATTACATGTTAAATATTTGATTTTAGATACATTTGTGCCACTAAAGTGAAATTTGTAGGACTTAAGGTACATTTGTACGCTTAAAGGTATATTCCCACGGTAACATTTAAATTAAATTTGGAGTCAGACTTCAAAAAGTGTTTGAACACAACACTAAATACCGTATTTAGGTATATACCGGACAAGTAATGATTAAACAAGATGACGTCTTTTTCATCTGTTTGCACCGATTTATATAGTGATAATGAATGAGAAATCTATGAATTTGCAAAAACTGCAATATTTTCCTACTTTGTGGTCATAATTTCTACAAGCATATAGAGGTTCTGCTAAAACACTGAAGTGGGTTAAATCCTTACATTGCACCGCTTTAGATGCATTTCTATCACTTTAGCAACATTTGTATTCATTCACTTGCATTTGTATCACTTAAGTTAAATTTGTAGTTCCACTTTAGTTACATTGTATCACTTTATTTGCATTTGTACCGCTTAAAGTTGAATATGTATCACTTAAGCTACATTTGATGCACTTTAATTGTACATGTGACATTTTCATTTGTTACACACGTGCTTCTTTAGTTCGTGAATAGGTGTCATAATGGCTTCTTTTTAATTTGCGACCCTTAAATAATTGACAATTTATTACAGTTTGAATTTGAAAAGATTTTATTCAATTAGATAAAGAAAAGAATAATATTGTTACACTGACCACACTTTTACATGGTTATTTGGTTTTCATAAAAAAATGAAGGGTGACCTGCACAGGTCATCAATAAAAAGACTACCTCCAAAACGATCAGTCAGTATGAGGTGTTTTAGAGGCAAACTGGTTTTCTGTTGTGTATTTTTGAAATGGTACACAGCATACCCATTTAATGCTGTATATCTTAAACAAACTTTTCCTTATTAGCTCACAGCATGTACACAACAAGTACATATTATATACAAGCAAATGTTTGCTTTTGTAAGGCATTATATACATTGTATATTATGTTGTAGATAATTTGCCTGTCGTTTGTATGTATTAATTAAAGGGATGATAAATATCAATAACAAAAAATAAATGTGTTCTGTATTTGTCTCTTGTTTCTTTGTATAACACATATTTTTAACGGGTTTCTACAAAAACTTCATTTAAAATGTATCGATTTAATATTCATTTATTTTCTAGGTTGACAACAAGGTTTATCAGATCGTGAAGATTTAATCAATTAATACACAAACTTAAAATGATATTCAGTCTAGTGTTATATAAAAGAAAAACTTCAAAACGTGTTATATAAGAGACCCTGCAATAAAAAATATTCAGTAACAAAATGCAAAACATTTTCTAATATGAATGATTTAAAAGAAATGTGAGACTGTAAATTAAAGCTATCATTGTAAATATTTGACGACTCGGGTTATACAAACAACCGTTTATATGTGTGCATATAACCTATCAAAATATCTATGACTTATAATATAAAGATGTAGTTGATGTCAAAACAAATCAGATTAATGGCATACGACATCAAAATTTACAATATGTCAAACAGTCAAGATGTATTTAAGATAGGTTTCGGAGTACGAACAAAACAATGTATAGTTATAGAAAAAATATCTTACATATCATTGATAATATTAATCCATTATAACTCTGTACATGTTACAGTGTGAAAGTGTCCGGTAATATGTGGTGAAAACATATTTTAGTTGTTCATTCAATGGATTTCAAACAATTTGATAAGTAAGATAGAAGATCTACATAATTATATAATGAGGGTCCGAAAGTACTTAACAAAAACACATCTAGTTGTGCCTACAATATATGTCAATTGATATCAAATACTTTGATATCCTTATTTGACTTGTCATAAATAAACATCCTCGTCAAATCATCGGAAATCGCAAAACAAAGGGGACTCTTGACACCTTTCACAGCAATAGGATGCACCTCTCTTGTATTTGGAGTTACCATGATTAGTCTATCACTGATACCACCACAACAAACAATAACCGTCCCATCATGTGTCATGACAAGTTGTCTTGGTGATTTTAAACCATTGCTTTTTATCTTATTTTTTACTTTTCCATCAACAGTGAATTCAAAAAGAGTAGTTTCAAAGACATTAGACACAACGAAACTTTCGTTATCGTCGTTACATGAAGCTATATAATAAGGCCATGGACAGTGCTTCTCGATATCAAACTCGTTCATTAATTTTCCTTTCATGTCAAGTAGCTGAACGCATGCTGGAGAGTCGAATGATACAACAAGAACTCCGTTACGGTAGTCGATTCCTCTACAGTCATGTCTGACCTTAATACTGTGACTTTTAGAAATACCTTTTGATTTATTTACGAATAGTATTTTACCTGTATTGACTAAAATTACTGCGAATAATCCTAAATTGATTGCAGTGACATCCCATGGTTTTCCATCTGTTTTTAAAATACAGGTCAGCTCATTATCTTCTACATTTAAAAGTTTTAGACAATAATTTCCATAATCAACAATCAAGAGTTCATCACAGGAAATTAATTTCATTTTTGTTATGAAACCAGATTTGGTGTCTTTAATTGACCTGCAGGCATCAAATCTTTTTAACAGCAGTCTTTGAACATCTGTCATGCTCTTTTTGCTGTGTGTACGTAACTTCTGTTTTTTCTTATTGATAATACCAAAGGGAAGTTTGCCTGTTACAAGTTTTTCTAACACTTCAGACTTTACAAAGTCAAATATTTCGATCTCACATTTAGAGGCTAGCGCCTCTGTTGAATTCTGACAGGCTTCAATCTTCTCATGAGCAAATTTTGCTTTTACAAACAATTGATTAATCTTATCTGAATTTTTACTCATTTTATCTTGATATTCTCTCATCTCGGTTTCCATAGACTCAAATTCTCTTTGCATATGCCCAAGCTGAGACACTTGTTTAGATGTAAGCTGATCTATTCGCTTCAGCAGATCTGTCTCAGCATTATCCAAATATTCGTTAATCTCTTGTCGAAAAATGTAAATGTCTTTAATAATTTTTTCTCTCATTTCATCAGAAGCCTTTATGTTATTTACAATATCACTTTGGTCAGATGAAATTCTACGCAGAAGGGTCTCTATCTTTTTCTTGATCTGCACGAATTCCTCGCTGGTATCATAGTTGTCGGATACATCATTGACAAGCTTAACAGAACACGTCTTGTGACTAAGTACCATACAATCTCCGCATCGAACATAATTATGGTCTTCACAATAAAATTTTATTATTTCGGTAGGATGGACTGAACACATCTCCGTACATGGATCTTTTTTCATTTTTCCTGATATTGGCATTTCATTCTTATACTTGATTACGTGATTTTTACTTATAGCCAATTTCCGATGAACCTTCAAACATGGAGAACAGATGAACTCTTTACAAGTTTCACAAAATGCCACCGCTTCTATTGTGTCGCCCTCACACTCACAGGGCTGACAAAGAATTCGACGTTGTCTCCCTTGGTAAGTTGTTTGATTGTTATCACATTCCTTTCGACCTGATACTTCCATTTTGTTTTTATGAAAATCAATCTTTATACCACAATGAAAGCAATGAAATTCCTCTCAAATTTTGAATTGTGATATATAAATTATATTTAAAGTTTTTTTCTCAAGTTTGACTATTACGATAGTAAGTTATATCCGTTAATTGTTGCTCTTACAAACAAAATAAATGTAAGCCCATATTTCCCTGCTTGTTGTAAATTTTGTCTATAAATAATCATAACGTTTAAATATTGGAACATATTCAAGAAGAAAACAAATCGGTTAAATGTGTGAGCAACTTAGTAACTTTACCTTTCTTTTTCTGATAGTAATCATATACGGGTATTTATATTGATCATAGAAATACACTATATCATATTACATCATACGTTCTTTTTAAAAAAAATTTCACGTCTGAAAACAAGAAAACAAACTGAAAACAAGAAAACAAACTTTCTAAAATATTAAATCTCAAAACGTATGTTGTCATTTTACATATTCTGTGTAAAGATGACTGATTGCTATGGAAGCCCTGTAGGGACATTTGAAATTAAAATTTAAAACTTGATATTTAAAATTTAATTCTTAATATTTAAAAATTAACTATTAATACTTAAAATAAGATCAGAATACATAAGGCGCGGATATTTGAATTGAACGGTCTCTTGCACGAAGAAAAACTGGCAAATTCGATGTAGCTGCTTACAGATAATTGCCATTTTTTATATACGAGGGTTGTATACAATAAACATTCCGTCAATTATTATATCTCGATTTTTATATTTTTCATGCTAACAGTTGAAACGATTATGTTAGATTTATCAAAGACGCTAGATACGGTACCACTTTACATTTAATTGATTACATGGTGTCAAAAGCAGCAGTTGAGAAAGTTTACATTTTGTTCTTGTTGAAGTGTTAAAACTAACAGAAATATAGCTGCTAGTCAGGGGGTTAGGTTTGTCTAACGATAATGTTTAGTTGGTGGTGGTGGATAACAATATTTACATGTTTATAGCCCCAGCCCTTTTGTTTTAATAACGCTATATTTCATTTATTTCTATTTCTTTTAAGGTCGTGAACATGGAGATCCCGTTGATGTTTGCCTTTAACATTTTATTGAAAGTGACTCCTGTGTCAACATTTAATTGTGTCATCCCTATTGCCATCTGAAGGTTAGAAGTGATTACGCAGTATTTTCATGATGGATTCAAGTACGCAGAAATTGTTTTACTTCTCCTTTGTCGCCACATTGTACGCCTTGGTCTTCGTCAGTTAAAGAGGATACTTCGTTGTAATAATTAAGGGTGTCACCGTGTCATGTATACTCCACAAGAAATCGTAAAAGAATTGCAGTTTAGCGGAGACGGCTTATTGTACCATGGTGGATGAATACGTTGAAGGATTTGAGAGCTCGTGGACGAATTGATACGTCAAACCCTATTCATGCAGAATGCTTGCGATTTTATGTAACGGATGTTCTTCAAGCTGGACTTTATCGCATTGTTTTCACTGGAATTTACACATTATGCGACCACAAAAACATGATGGCACTTGTACTGGAAGACCAGAAATAGAATGTTGTTTAATGTACTAGAACTATCAAGCTCTATTGATTATGGTGTTAATGTTGATTTGTAGGATATTGAATATGAAACAAATCCAGATGATTGAACACTAGGCAATAATATATACTTTTTAATGAATAAACATTAAACATTAATGTTCATGGTTTTCCGAAGTATGTGCTTTATATGTTTAACTGCTTGTTAAAATTTCTAGGCCGATCGCGAGTTCGCGTTACTTATTGTTAGAACAGGTCATAAATCAAACGGAAAAGAAAATAATAAAAGAACTTAAACCCGAGACCTCTCTTGAAACATTCTGATTTTTCATTAATGATTGCATGACAAATCTGACTTAGAGTAAACATTACTAGAAAGCTAAGTAAACCGTATATAGGAAATTAGAAGATAAACCTTATGAGCTCTTTGTAGGCAGTACGAAAAATTTGCCAAATGTTCTCCAGAAGGGGTCAAATTTTAGGACTTTTTAACCACAAAAGACCAAGTTTCAACTTTGACCAACATATATGACCTATGATAAAGTTACAAGTTGTTCCTTCTAAAACAATCGATCTGTAGTGTTCAAAATGTTTTTCTTTAATTTGATCTATTTTTACCCCATATAACCCAGGTTCAAACTCGACCTAACGATTATCCAGACAAATATTCTCATAAAATTTTAAGTTGTTCAAGTAAAAAATACAGCATCCAAAGTGTTCTTTATATGTTTTTTTTATTTGAACTAGTGACCTAGTTTATGACCCCAGATAACCCAAGCTGACCTAGAAAATCAATTAGATAAACAATAAAAAAAATTTTTTGATGAAGATACAAAATGTGACCTGTATTGTGTTCAAAAGGGAAATGTTGAGAGACCCACCGACAGACGACAAACAGCGGCTAATGACAGTAGCTCACATTTGAGCTGAGCTAAAAAGGAATCAAGATATATCAGGTTTTTTTCTTTATTGAATTAAACACAGAGCTCTATTCATTTCTGAACAGTTTTCAATGGAAATAGTTATGCACCTAAAATGTTGATTTAAATAAACTGGCAAATAAACTTTTGTATACTACTGTTTGATCCACTAAGTCTGTGACAAGCTTTTAAACCATCAATATTTTGTTTATTTTGCGTTTATTGTAAAAAATCTAACTCTTGTGAGCTAAAATGACTGAAATTAACAATGACAGAAAACCCCATCATTTTCGACATCTTTTTTTAAAACAGTTGGTTACAAGATTGATGTCTGATGTTATGTCTGGTTACAGGTTCCGCGATAGAAATAGAAGTACAGTACTTTGACATCTTAGGTATCATCCCTTATGCTACTGTTGCCAAAGTAACGCAAATTCACTGTTTCCATCAAGTAGAAAATTTCCCTTACTTTTCCCCGAGCATTAAGCAGGCAAACCATTCAGAGATAGGCTATAGTTGTTTGCTAAAAAGTATAATTACAGTCCACTTTAAAAATAAGGCAGTAACAACTTTTACTCTTTAATTTCAGTGACTAATCAAAGTACAAAATCAAAGGAGGTTCAACTTCCAATTGATAACAATCTGGGGTAACTACAGCATACAACATAAAATTAAAACGGTATTCATAACACGTTTTGCCATGTGGGTGAGAACTGAAGGATCAACTAGGCAAACTCAACAAAATGATTATTTTTCAACTAAATAGAACAAAAACTGTCACTAAAAATAAACATATGCCACGAATGTGCTTTGAGCATTTGGCAGGTACTAAAAACTAACCTTTTACATTGATAAAAATGTTAAAGAAGCAAACATTATTATAATATTCATAATCACATCATAATCTATAATTGTCAATTAGTTTGTATGCTTATTATTATCACAGGGCTACAGCATATATGTCAGTTGCATACAATTTCACATGAAAACAAACCCACGATTGACACCACTACAAAATAAATTTCCGTTTATCAACTATTTTTAAATGAATGTAATTATTAATATGAACAATTGTGATTTACCAAGAATCAAACAATTACTATCATCAATTTAAAAACAAAATATTTGATTAAGCACATTCGATACATAATGTTGCTGCGATGAAGCTTCTAGATAAATATAAACGTTTTCATCTCTGTCTAGGAAAACTGTGTTCTAGAAACCACATACTCATCTTTCTTCAAACGGATCATATTGTTATATTATCTTTTTCTGGACTACCAGACCCATTAAGCACCGCGATATTGATTGGCAAATACTTCAGATTGTTCTTCAGAATATAATGAGTGCGTAATTTTGCTGTACTTTATGTAAATAGTTCTGCGCTCTTTTCTATAGGGACTCCATTTATCATGAAACTTTGTTCTCCTTTTTTTTCAGGTATATATGGCACTGTGATGCATACAAACTGTAAGCTCAAAATACTCTGTGAAACTGCATGGATTTTGGTCTACATCAGTATAACTGTCAATCACTTGTCCTGATGCTTAAGCCAATGAGAAGTCGTAGTCCTCCACACTGTCCATGTTACTTTCTTCGTCCGGGAAATAGCAACTAAGCGCTTGATTTCTTATCCTTTCTACTGCCAGATTTTCCCCAAATGTGTAATACATTACTCGTGCTTATCCACCTTTTGCTTCAGTATCAACTCTGTACTTTCCATCTCGGTTGTTCTGCCATCCCATTTTCATTTTATATGCACTGCCTGTTCTCTGTCTTTCTTCACAGCAGTTGCCTAAAATAAATATATAAGAGGTTTTATCAAGATACAATTTCATACAATGTTAGCCTTAGAGGGACATACCTTATAACTGATATCAAACTATATAACCTCCAAAACATAAATAATAGAATCTTTGAAAATATTATGACTTAAATTAAAAGTTTCAGCTATACCTTCCCAATCATTTTCGATAAAATCAGCTGTTAAACAATGTTGAAGTATTGTAAACCAGTCAATAATGTATGTAATGATGTTGCTGTACAATTAATGGGTGCAATTTATTTTAGAACGCCTCTTAATTGATAAATTGTGGTAAAATGAGGTTTCTTTCAGCATAGATTATTTTTTGACATTGTATTTATTTGTCATTTTACTTTCAATGAGCACAACCTTCGAGAATATAATCTGCTAGATGTAGGAAGTATTCCTTGATCTACATCTAAAGTTTTTTTACCAAACCTGTGGCAAGGTTTTTGCAAACTGCAGGCATTTAAAAGCACACTACTTCAACCTATAAGACTGGTAATGTAAATTCCCAAGGCAAATCAATGATCATAATAATAGGATGATGGTGGCCTCTAAACACTCGTCTTGAAAAAAAAGGCTTTTTATTTAAGATTAACAGTACCTAAATCCTAAAGGGCAGCATGTCCAGTCTGCTTGATTGTAATGCTTATTTTCTAGCTGCATCAAAAATGGAGGTATAAAAAAGACCAGTAAATGCGATCTTGACCTTTGAGCTTGGGTCTTACGTGCG